TTTATTTTTCATATATGAGTGTATTGCCTACATATATGTAACTGCACCTGTGTCATGCAATGCTCACAGACATCAGAAGAGGGCATTGGATCCCCTGGAACTGGAGTTACAGAGGGTTGTTGGCTGCCATGTGGGTGCTGGGAATCGAACCCAGGTCTTCTGCAAGAGTAGCCAGTGTTCTTAACCACTGAGCCATCTCTCCAGCACCAATGATTAAGAATTTTTCAGAATTTTCACTACACTGATAGTCCTAACCTTAGAAAATACCAACAAAGAAAATACTACAAGATATACAGACTGCAATTAATTAGAGATACATATTTAAATCTTAGAATGACCTTTAAATGTTTTGTAAATGAGCCCAGAGTGGCTATGAGGTGGAATTATCCAATATTAACTTCAAAGGAAAGTAGAAAAAGACTAAATGATTCAAAGAGATGAATAGGACTCAAATATGGCAGATTTTAACTCAAGAATATTGATAATTACATTAATTATAAACAATGAAAACACACCAGTGAAAGACTTTCTGATTAGATTAAAAAGACCTATGCTTATGCTGTGAAAGACTTACAAGAAATATAAATTAAAGAATTAAAAATGACTATGCTATGCCACATTAATTTTAAAAATCTAGAATGGTCATATTAATAGCAAAGTAGAGGTTAGTATAAGAAACACTGCAAAAGATGAAAAGGCACATTACATAATAACAAAGACTTCAATTCCTAAAATGTATTTGAACTGATAAAAGGCTACATTTAAGCCAAAAATAAAAAACGGACAGAAATGGGAACTAGAATAATCAGATACACTATATCAGTCACAGACTCCAGTTGTCATTCAGTAACAAATAGAATAAAATCAGTAGGCTAAAAATAAATAAACATACAATAAACCAAATAAGTTAGAAATTTTTGTAAACAGCTTCATACAACTTAAGTTCATGTATAGAATACCCTGAGTGAACAGAATATACAATGTCTTCAAATGCATATGGAACATACAACAAGTCAAAACATATTCAGGATAAAAGAACAAATCTTAGTTTTTTTAAACTAAAATAATGCAAAGTACATGTTCAGGCCATTATGGGATTGAACTAGAAGTCAACCACAGAAAAATAACTGGAATCTTTTCAGTGTTTAGAATTTAATCAATATAATTTTAAATAATAACATTGAAAAAAAATATAAAATGAGAAGTAATAAATTGTTTTAACTTAGTGAAACCAGAAATAACACATTAGTAATTGTTGAATAGAAATAATGCATTGCTTAGAGGGAAATTCAGATCTAAAATTGTATTAAAAAAGAAGAACAAATTATACCCAAAGAAAGAATGTATAACAGACATCAATGAAATTAAGAAAACAACAAAAAAAAAGAAAAATAATGAAAATAAAAGTAGCTCCTTGGTGGAAATATAGACAGATTATCAGACAATTTTCTTCCCAGACATAAACAAAACTTTGTAAAATGCCAATATCAGGAAGTTATTATAAACCTAAAAAACACTAAGTAGTAAAGACAGTGTATTGTAAACACAATGATACATATGAAATTTAAAATATATTGAAAACCACAAAAGGCCAAAACTCACTTGAGAAAAAAATCAAGAATCTAGTATCTATCAAATTGAATTTCTGTTTCAAAACCTATCCAACACAAAAATTCCAGAGTCAAGAGCTTTCCCTCAGGGCCAGTGAGATGTTCAGCAGGTAAAGGTACTTGCCACCTTCCAAATGACCTGAGTTTGATCTGGGGGCTCACTATGTTCAAAAGAGAGAACTGACTCCTGCAAGTTGTCCTCTGACCTTCACACGCATGCTATAGCACATACATGTGTGTGTGTGCGCGCACACACACACACACCAAATAAAGCTTTCACTAAAAAAATATTTTAGCAAACATTAAGAAATAATATATCTATGCAAAATTTCTGGGCTATAAGGAGAGAAAAATCCTTCTTAGCTCATTTTATGAAGTTGGTACCACAGAAGCCAAAATCAGAGAGAAGCATACTGAGAGTTTTACCTATCAGTACACATCAGTATGATTGCAATATGTGAAAAAAAAAACCCTCAACAAAACACAAGCCAGTCTAATTCATCAATGTATGAAAAAAATAACATACTTGTGACCAAACAAATTTTACCCATGTTGCAGCAGATCAGCTCAACATCCAAAAAACAATCCATGTAACTCACTGCAGCACAGCAAGCAAGAAACATTGTTTAAACAAACTCAACTTTCTGTTTTTATAAAACTCCAGCAAACTAGAATAGACAGGAACCTCTTCAACCTATGCCTAACCACTAGACAGTCATGGAAGCCTGAAAGCTTCACACTATGTTAAGGATCAAGGCAAGGAATCCTCTTCCACCATGCTTACTTAACATGATAATACAGATCTTATCCAGTGTAATCAGTCAAGAAAAAGAATTAATGGCATTGATTCTTGAAAGAAATAGAAATAAAGACAACTATTCCTCAGTGAACAAATCAATTAACAGAGCACATCCATCCAATGGAGTAGTATTCAGCAACAAAAAGGGCATTCTCAGAAACACACAATAGCATGGATGAATCTCAAACACATCACAGTAAGCAAAAGGATCCAGAGTTGAAAGGACACAAGCTACGTTTTTTCCATTTATATGACATTCTGAAAACAATAAAAACACTAGAGATGGAAAAATATCCCAGTGTTTGCCATGAAATGGAGGAAGAAAAGGGATTGCCCACAAACAGACGTCAGGGGATCCCTTTCAGATAATAGACCTGTTCTCCTTCCGAATAGCAGTGATTACAAGATGGTGTATATGTCGAAGATAGCAAAACAGTAGGCTCAGATGGATTTGTATTATAGGCAAATTACACTTTTAAATAGGGAATAAAGAAGTGGAGAGATGGCTCAGTGGTTAAGAACACTGGCTGCTCTCGCAGAGGACCTGGGTTTGGTTCCCAGAACCAACATGGCAGTTGACTCAGTAAGTCCACTTCTAGGAGATCTAACACCCTCTTCTGACATCTGTGGGCACTGCATGATATAGATGCACTTACAGACATGCAGGCAATACACTCATACACATCAAGTAAAATAATAAAATATTTTTAAATAAAATAAATAGGGAATAAAAATGCAGTAGATGTATATGTAAACTCTAAAAATCAAACTACCTAAGTTCTTCTCAAATGTAGGTCTAGAGTATGTTCTCCAGCTATGCAAAGCAAATAACAACAGTATCTGCATTTCATAGCTCTTGTTACTGCCATGCCCCACCTCACAACTAGCACAGTGCTCACCAACATGAGTGCTATGGGGGAGCTCTCATTTCTGGGTTGAGTTTAGTGAAGAAATATCTGACGAATATACACAACTGCTTACTTACAGGCAGATTACAGTTAGGAAAATTAAGAAAATCAGTATTATGCATCTATTAAACCAAATTCACATTAATTTCAAATACAGGTCAAATTTGGCAAGAATGTTCTAAAATAGGAATAAAATTTCAACTCAAATCTAAGAAATTCTATCGCATGCCTAAATACTTCATAGATAATTTTAAAAGACTCAAAACTGTGATTATTTATTCTACTGTGATCACTGATTTTTTATTAGGTTCATGAAGATATTAGTCTATCTGATTTTTACTACTTCATTCTAGGATTTTATTGAGTAACAACCAAGAAAGCATTGTAGGGGTTGGGGAGATAGCTCAGTTGGTAAAGTACTTGCCACTCAAACATGAGGACCTGTGTTTTGTTTCCCAGAGCCCATGTGAAAAACTGAGCACAGTGGGAGTCTGTAATCCCAGCGCTGAGGGTTGGTAGAGACAGGAAGATACCAGAGGCTCTCTGGTCAGCTAGTCTAGCTGAACTGGTGAGTTCTAGGTTCACTGAGAGACCCTGTCTCAAAAAATAAGGTAGACGGCAATTCAGGAAGACAAGAAATGTCTGCCACTAGCCTCCACACACACATGTACATATGTACATATTATACACACACACATACAGTATTGCCAAAAGAATATGATATATACCAAGACTTCATGAGTCTGGATTAGACCCTTCCCTAAAAAGATAACACTAAGAGGAATCATCAAAGTGGATAAATATACAATTGGTATCCCAGAAAAGTATGCTTCCTCCAACAAGAAAGGAATGAATGACTTTGTCTGGGTATCACAAGAATAACCTTCTAATCTGTGTGACCTATGCACTGCAGCCACACCTGACATACACATGAAGTTCCCCACTTCCGCATACCGTTCACCTGTCTCTTAAATGGGTGGGATGACCTCACTGCAAGTTAGAATGTTAGAAGCATGGAAATTTATGCTGTAACATGACAGTTATTTTCAGAGTTGATTACATTTTTTGTCATATTTATGATGCTTTTATAAAAGGCCCACTGTGTGCTCAGTGCTGGAAATATAAAACATTATAGGCAACTTTTATTAAATATGTCCTTATCATTCCAAGCCAAAAGCAAATGAATCTATCTTATTTCCAAGATCTCCTATCTACTGTCATTTCATATCATATCTCAGTGAGACACTGTGAGAAATATTCTTGGAGTGTTATCAACTACAAATTCTGCAGCAAATATGGGTTTTTGCACAGGATTTCACACTGAATAATATAGTAACATCTAGAAATTCCTAACCAGGGCGGGGGGAGAACATTTTAAAAGATATTTTAAAAGTATGACATGTGCATAAGGGAATTCTCAAACAGAATCCACAGATTCATTTAAAGCTTTTCACATGCTTAGAACTATTGTTTTGAAATACGGAGTTCAAACACGGATCTTCCAAAGCTTTCTAAAATGAAGATATCCCTATGGGTTGTAGCTCTCTGTCAGAAGCCAATGGGAGGTAATATGTAAACAAAAGAGAGAAGTAAAATCAACGTGATACCTAAAAACAAGTCAAAATGGAAGAAGTAGAAAAGACCTCTGGAAGGACCCAGGGGCCAGGATACTGGCCAGCTTACCTTGCCTTTTTCCGTTAACTTTTTCTAAAGTGCCAGGGAGCTGGGTGTCAAAGCAATGCTGAAGGCCACATCTCTGCTTTTCAAAGTGATGTTCTTCCTCAGTCACAGAAGAAAGCACATTCAGGGGCTTCGGGTCAGCTGGGGTCTGACTGGACCACTGGGATATTATGGAACATGAGTCTTTGGCATGTTGGCTAAATCTGGGGCTTGACGTTTGGACCTGCAAATCACTATTAGAGCATGAAACACGGTCTTCTTCAAGAAACAAGGAGTTTGCCTCCTCTGGATGCCATCCATTGTCCTGCTCTTCATCTTCAAAGTAGGTTTCCTGAACCTGAACATCATCTAAGTCCTGGTCTGGCTTGTCACTCAGTGTCGAGTCTTGTTTGCTTAAGAGAACCAGTGAAGCAGATAATGTATCCCCTGCTTGCTGGAGAGCTTCATAAACCCGGAATATCCAGGAAGATAGAGGCTGAAAGAAGTTCTGGGCATCGTGAGACGCCATGGCCAACACCATGGCCAACTACCTGATGTCTACAGGGTTCACTTGTTCAGTTCCTCCAGAATTCTGGACTTAATGTGAACTCAGAACAAGCATGATGAGAAATTTAATTGGAGGTCTCTTTTTTTTTTATAACAAGCAAAACTCTATTAACATATACATAAAGAAAGCATGTGAGCACTGTAGGCTGAGTAAAACCAGGCAGCATGCTGGCTCCTATGCCAAGGTCTATGGCGTAGGTCTTTGCAGGGAACAGAGTAACTGTGTTTGATATGGTGGTCATTTTCAACACTTCTCAGCTGAAACAGAGGAAAGAAATGCTTATGCCTGTTAAAGTAACAACCTCAGACCCATCACCAGACACCGCCAGTCAATGTCAAATAACATTTGGGGACAAAGCAATATCACGTTAGACTCTTGTAACAGCTAAATAAAAATGACTGAAAATCTAAATGTGGATTCTATCGATGTCTATTCTTTGCAGGCTCATGTACAACTTCCATTAGCAATAATGGAGTCTAGTCACATGGACTAAGAAAAGCCTGGCCCCCAAAGACCATTCTTTTTTTTTTTTTTTTTTTTTTTTTTTTTTTTTTGGTCTTTTTGAGACAGGGTCTCCCTGTAGCCCCAGCTGTCCTGGAACTCACTATGTAGACCAGGCTGGCCTTGAACTCAGAGATCCACCTGCCTCTGCCTCCCGAGTGCTGGGATTAAAGGTGTGCACCACACATTCTTAACAGTGTGAAAAGAATAAATCAATCTGCATGAACAGCCACTTAGGCATGACACTTCAAGATGCAAGAAAGGCTGGATGTTTCATGATCAAACCTGTAGAACTCAGAGAGCTGATGAATAGGCATCTCTGTTTTATGACACAAAGGTTTATCTTTTCAAAGGAAATCTATGCCTAGAATTTTAAAAGCTTCCACAAACCTTTAAAAATAGAGTTTTAGTGGAAAAAAATAGAGTTTTGCATTTTTATGCAATATCTAGAAATTATATCTATTCTTAGGGAACAAAATCACTGAAAATTTGAGCGAGGCAAATAGATCATTTAGTTCCCTAAAGAAACATCTTTGGTATCTTACTGCCTTTGTCTACAGCTCCACTTCCAGAAGTTAGCCCACTGCAACTTGTGGGTTTTCTGAAACACGACCTGTGCCATCAGGGTCATAGTCTGAAAGCAGCAGGTCCAGAATAGCCTACAACAGTTGAGCATGACAGACCAAAGAGCATATCCCTACATTTTTATATGCACAGGAACATATGCATGCATATACACACACAGATATACGTATACATATGTGTCAGTATCTCACTGTTGTCGAAGCACAGGATAAATGCTATTAATGACACAAAATGTGAACCCACACCCTGAAATGAGTCACCTGTTTCTTTTTAGTAGCAGTCTCCCTCAGAATAACTCTCCCAGTCCTCCGTCAGTTTTCAGCCCTCTTGACCTTGGCCCCTGGTATGCCTCCATATATTCTCCTCAAAATTTCTTAGTGACTCAGAGCCGCATTGATTCACTCAATAAACAAATATTGATTAAATACCTATTAAATTCTGGGCATAATGCCAAGCATAAGGTAACCCTGAGGCCTCTGTCCCCACAGAGCTCACATTTCAGTTAGAGGTAAGCTGAACTCTGCATGCTCCTCTGAAGTTGAATTGTTCATGTCTCACTGTGAGGCTGTTCCCTGTCTTCCTCTAACGGTGTATTTACAAATCACTGTCCTGTTGATTCTTCTCCTTTATACCCACCTGCTGAGAAGATTGGCACAACCTTTTTTTTTTTGAAGGCTTTAAGTATCTCAGGCCAGCCTTGAACTTGCTATTAACGTAGGATAACCTTGAACTTCTGTTTCTTCTGCCTCCACCTCCTGAATGCTGGGATTACGCGTGCACCACTGCATCCCGTTTACATAGTGCTGGGGATCAAATCCAGCGCTTCTGCACACTAGGCAAGTATGCTACCAGTTGATCTACATTCCCGGCCTCAACTCCAAATTTTCATTTTAAAGTTTTTGAAAACTCCAAAATACACATCTCTAGCCCCCTTCGCTCATTCTTCCTTTTCTTACTTTTTCTCCAATTATCCAAGCCAGTGATTTGCAAACCGGTGAGTCAGAATCATCTGGTGAGCTAAGAAAGCACACAAAGTCCTGGGTTAGCTGTAGAAAAGAGGCCTGGCCTGGATCTCTGTATTTCTGTTGTTTCTCCTGGTGAGTCTAACCCCCACTATAGTTTGATGAAAAACCAATGTAGATCCGACAGCCTCTTCTGACCTCCGCAGGCATTGCACGACACAAGTGCACTTACCTACACGCAGGCAATACATGCATACCCATTAAATAAAAATAATAAATAAAATATATTTTAAAAACCAATGTAAGAAATAGTAACACTTATATGTGTCACTAAAATGTGAAATTCAGCTCTTCCAAACCTCCCACACTGCTGTACTGTGGGTACTCACCTCTCAGCTCTTAAGACCTCATGACTGTGAATCTCTCTCTCCAACACAGCCCCTTCTGCTCCTTCCAGCCCATCTTCTATCAGCTTTCAGTCTGTAAGAGGTTGCCTTTTCCCATGCTCCTGTCTCTTCAGAGAGCACACATCTAGTTCTATCTCTGGTCTTTCCCAGCCTCTCTCCAACCCTCGGTGTCCACCACAACCTGACTTTCAAGTAGGTTTACTGCCTCTCTGCCCCTAGAATGGAAGCTCCATAGACAGCAGAGGTCATCTATTTTCTTCTGTTCATCCTGTGCCTAGAAGTATAAATTAGTACCCAGACTTGAATAAATTCAAAAATAAATTCACAAGTCTCATTAGAAATCATACCTGGAACAGTACTTAACATAGATTACATAATCAATAATTTTGTTAAATTAATAAATAAACCTACTCAAAACCACAGTGAAGGGGCTAAGATGGCTTAGCAGTTATGAGGAGGACCTGGGTTCAGTTCCCAGCATCCATAATGCAGCTAACAATCAATCACGACTCCAGTTCCAAGGGAAACGACACCCTCTTCTGGCATCTGCAGGCATTGCACAATATGGGTACACATATACATGCAGACAAAATACTCATACACATAAAATAAATAATAAATAAATTTTAATCCACAGTGAATACTTTAAATGGCATTATCATACAAATCTCCTGCTTAGTAACATTATTTCTTTAGCATCTGCTCTATCCAGTTTCATGATGTATAACTTTGGGTTTCCATTTCACCCACAAAGCATTTTGCATAAGCAACAGTGCTTCAGGGTATCAGAGACCTAGAAGGTTCTCTAGGAGGAATCAGTGGCTTTAAGGTCTATTCCTGTCCTCACAACTCACACTGCCCTACCTTGTGTTCTAACAAAAGTCTAGCTGAGCACAGAGATACTGCCACACAGTGAGGACACAGCCACTCCTCATTTCTCTCTGTGAGGTCCTCTGTGCTGGCACACAGACACACTGATTATTTCAAGTGACCCTGATCTTTCCTGACTTCTACTTGTTTTGCCCGAAACACCTTTGCTCCTAATCTGCTCCCCACCCCCTCCTTTTTTCACATTGAAACTCTGATGGCTTATTCTGCCAAGTCTTCATCTATAACCAAAGACAAAGCCTCAAAGTGCTTGGAGTGAGGCTTCATGGTATAAAGCTGCATCTGTCAGTCCTCATCTGATTGACTGGGAGACATAAGTTTGAGGTCTGCTTTCATTCTTTATAGCTTTAGAACCTGTAAGGGACAGGAGCTCTGAACATGTTGGATAGATGGATGGATGGATAGATGGATGGATGGATGGATGGATGGATGGATGGATGGATGGATGGATGAGTTACTAATGAAAATATTCAAAGACGTATATTCTTAATCCCTTCGTTTATCATCATCTGTAAAGCAGAATTCACTTACTCTAGCTGTTTCTTTCTGCTCTAAAATCCAAGACTGTACCAGATAGGCTAAAGAATATTATAACTGAGGCTGGATATATTAAGAATAAAATCACCTTTTGGGGGTGAGTTCTATACTTTTGTTAATAATCATTGTCATGTTATCCTAAAGCAATTCAAAAGAGACCAAATCTCTGTCTATATATAAAAAAGTGTCTAGTTGTAGTCTAGAACACTGGCAAAGGAAGAGCACCTCTGTCTAGGCCCCAAACTCTACCTAGTTGGTACTACTAGGGACCACTCATTTATATTATACTAACTTAGCCTAAAGTCAAAAGGGCTCAGCATAAACAGAGTGGCTATGAAGATGTCTTTGTATTTAGATAAACTTCAACATGACAGAGAGGGCACACCAAGGGTGATGCGGACATATGTTTACTGTCCTAGTTCTTTTGGATATTTTCTTAGAGCTAGTGAAAAGACAAAGTGGCTCCTGGCAAGACGGATGGAAGACAGACAGACAGACAGATAATTCTAGTTTCATTTTGTTGTTGTGATAAAACACTCTAACTTAAAAAAAACTTGGAGCAAAAGATTTATTTGGCCTACACTAACAGATCACAATTCATTATTAAGGAAAGTAAGGACAGGAACTCAAGACAGGGACTTTAAGCAGAAATCATTGAGGAATACTGCTTGCTGGCTCATTGTTGGCTCACTCAAGTTCTATCTTCCTTATGCAGTGAAGGACAACTTTCCCAGGGAATGGAACCACCCACAGTGGGCTGGGTCCTCCTACATCAGTTAACAGTCAACACAATCCCTCACAGACATGCCCAGAAACCAACCTGATAAAGACAATTATTTGAGATTCCTTTTTCAAGTGATTCTAGACTACACCAAATTGGCAGTTAATGCTAACTAAGATGAGTATCTAGGACATTGGATGGATGGATGGATGGATGGATGGATGGATGGATGGATGGATAGAAATATATGATAAATGATGATAGATAGATGCATGCTGTCCAGTTGCTTGGATTAGAAGGAAAAATACATTGAAGTTCTTGAAAGAGCTCATTACTGAATTAGAAGACTTAACAGTACTTTGTTATTATGAGAAGTATAAAAGAAAACAACAAAAATGTTTGAGTGTATTTATATGTGTGTTTAATACATGAACACAAGGGACCTAGGAAGAATTATAACCTCTCTAGCCAGGCATGGTGGCACAAAACTTTAATCTCAACACTTGGGGAGCAGGGGCAGGTGGATCTCTGTGATATTGAGGCCAGCCTGGTCTACATAGAGAATTCCAGGCCAACTGGAGCAACAGGGAGACTCTGTCTTAAAAAACAAAGAACAACAACAGAAAAAGAATTACAACCTCTCAAAGTACTCAGAATAATCTAGAAATCTGAGAAAAATTAATGACAATTGATAAACAAAGAAGAAAGGAAAGCCACTGGAGTATTCCTAAGGGGCACGTTTTTAAATCTTACTTTAATTAGAATTCTGTTTTAATTATAACAGCGTTTAATTGAACTTAGATGATTTTAAACATAAAAAAATGACTAAGCAGAAAAGGACAGAATTATGTTTCTATAGGAGGAAATCTATCAAACCACTGAGTTATATGCTTTCTCATTTATTTTGAAAATCCTCACCAA